TCGCCCCCCAGCCTCGACGACAGGCTGCCGTCCATCGGCCACGATATATCTCGGCCCTCGTCAAGCTCTACCGTGGCTTCCCCTCCGCACCAGCAGCAGCACAGCGGCAGCAATGCCTCGATTCAGCTGCCCTCCCTGGCCACACTAGCCTCCGCCGCATCCAATTGCCCCACCGCAAACTTAGCCAGTAATGATAATAATGATAATACGAGGAATACCACGCCCGAGAAGAAGATGCCATCCCCACCAAGGTACGTTGCATTCCCCCCCTCCCAGGCCAACATGGCGCCAGCAGCAGGGCTCTGCGTCGGCGGTAGCTGCGGCCCGCCGTACCTTGAGAACTGGCTTATCGCAAAAGCCTTGGCAAAGTGCCGCACCTCAACTTTTCCTGCGCCTCGCTAACATGGAGTCCAGCAAACCCTCTAATGGCCTCAGCATGACTTATGCAACCTCTGCGCCCGCGACTGCTGGTGGACAGGCAGGCTCTCCGGTACGTCCTGCACCCTCTATTGTTGGTGTTGTTGCGAGGGCGTGTCCCGCTCTATCGCGCTCCAAATTTGTCTCTTATCTAATCGATAGCCACCACGCATCCATGATGCTGGAGCTTTCTATTGTCCTTGTGCTGACCCTTTCCCAGCCCGTCTGCCAGAACTGCTCCACGAGCACCACGCCCCTGTGGCGCCGCGATGAGACAGGCGCCGTCCTCTGCAATGCCTGCGGTCTTTTCTTGAAGCTGCACGGTCGGCCACGTCCCATCTCCCTCAAGACTGATGTCATTAAGAGCCGCAACCGCGTCAAGACTGGTGGACTAGGCGGACGCAAGAGGGTATGCACCATCCCGTCGCCCTGCTCTTTGTCATGCACAATACTAACAGTCTGCAGACAAGCGACCAAGGCGGTCTTCCCGCGGCGCACCCCGATGCAGATGGCCAGCTCGCGCTCGCCCAGCACCGTCGTGCGTCTGGAAAGATGTCCTCGGGCCTGTCTGACCGTTCGCAGTCCCCCATTTCACGCACTGGCACTCCAAACTTCAATCATCCCTCCAACATTGCGCCCCAGCACATGTTTGAGCAGGCTCTGCACGGCGACTTTCATTCACCTTCGCTTCCTGGCTTCGGTCTCCGGGCTCCATCGCCTGCTACATCATCAGTCAACGGTTCCCACCTCGAGGCCCCTCTGCCGTACGAGACACTTGCTGCGCAAAACACTGCGCTAAAGACTCGTGTTTCCGAGATGGAGCTAATCAATGACCTGTTCCGTAACCGCGTTAGCGAGCTCGAGCAGAGCGAGCAATCCGCGCGGCAGACGGAATCTACACTGAGGAAAGAGCTTGAGGAGGTTAAGCAACGAGAGGCTGATTTGAAGAGGCGGCTTGAGGAGATTGAGAGCGAAAGCCCCAGGCACAAGCGGATGAAGATGAGTGAATTCGTGGACGAGAGCCGCGCGGGTACGCCCATCAGTGCCATGGTAGACTAGGCTCGAAAATCTTGCGATGAGGCGTTTCCTTTGGTTATCTAACGACTGTTCCATGCATGCGGGGAAATGTTCGGTGGTGCTGGGTTGAGGTAGTACTCGTCCCATGCCAGCTTGCGCACCCCCACGAGAGTAAAGTGCCGACACTTGCTCTACCTGGTCTGCAAGACCGTGTAATGTCTGAATACTACTTCTTGTCGCCAAATGTTCATGGTGGTGGCTGTATTGTAATCTTTTTTTTCTCTGCTGATACCAAGTGTTGATGAGGCTGTGCCGTACGAATGTACGGTTGAAATGGCTGTATGGGCTAGAAGCCTGGAAAAGCGGGGAAGGCAGGGAGGGGAAGAGTAAGGGACGTGTTTATCAAAAGTCTTGCTGTTGGGTTAACTTGGTTACCATTAATGGGATACGAAACACTCAAAGCTGGTATGAGCTCATTTACATGTGTGTTGATACTGTGTTGATGCCTCTTCGCTAGCCATGTCTTGGCATACTAGAGACTTGTTTGAGCAAGTCGGGTTGAAGCATGGGTTTTGTTTTTGAAATCGCATTGATGTATGGGCATTGGTTTGTGCGAGTAGGTAGTACTCTGCAGTATAGGTTAACATTGGCTGTCTGTAGCGGGTGATACAATAAACAAGACTCGTCTGTCATCACGTCAGATGGTTGCCAACAGTATACGAACGTCAAGACATTGGTGGGCTAGACTCATCTCTTGCTTGTCTGCAGTACTGGTGGAATGAATGATTGTGAGAATGTATCTTGGTAGAGTGGTGTAGTAGTAATGTAGTCTGTGCGAAGTACTTTGCATCACTCGTAAAAGCTATAGGTAGCCCGTTTCCCCTCGTTCAAGTTCAAAGCCATTGCGGTTCTTGGATGCGATAAACTCGGAGAAAAACAATACAAACAGATCATATTCAACATGACTTGCCAGACTGACTGTTCCAATTGGCGCTGTATATCCATTGCGATACTTCCCGATGGCTGTGTGTCGTGGTGTTGATCGAGCTCGGTTGCATTGTTTAATGGGATGCTGGCCCTCCAAGTGTCCTTCACAATGCGCATCACCAACAGAGACACAATGGGGCTATTTCCAGGCCCTAGACTATCTCAAGACATAACCCAATATCCTCCCATTCCTTGAACCCAATCTCAACCCTCAAATCCCCCAAGATGGCACACAAGCGATGGGTGTTCGGGAGTAAACGGGCAGCGCTAACCCGAAGTGAGCTCCCGCACGGACTCTTGGCAGCTAATCAACCCTTCAGCGAGTTTTTGCATCCACCTCCTCCATCCTCCTCCCACCACTCCGCATCCATTGAAGGACCAATTCATCTCCAACTCATCTCCACTCCGACCGTCAACACCATCACCATGGTTGCCATTGCTCGCTCCTTCGGCGCCGCCCGTGTGGCCGCCCGCGGCTTCTCCAACGCTGGTATGTGTCGCGCCTGCCGCAGGTGCTCAAGCCAATTGGTTTTGAGCTCTGCAAGCTCATTAAGCAGCCATTGACCATCATCTCGCAGCCCGCCAGCCCCAGCAGAGCACTCTGGTTGCTGCCCGCAGCGCCTTCCGCAACAACGCCGCCCGCAACATCATCCAGAAGCGTGGCATCGTCGCCGAGTCCACCGCTGCCGCCATGGTCGCTGCCGCTAAGATCCAGGGTGCCGGTCTCGCTACCATCGGTCTTGCCGGTGCTGGTGTTGGTATCGGAACGGTTTTCGGTGGCCTCATCCAGGGTGTTGCCCGCAACCCTTCCCTCAGGGGTCAACTCTTCCAGTACGCCGTTCTGGGTTTCGCTTTCGCTGAGGCCACTGGTCTCTTCGCGCTCATGATGTCTTTCTTGCTCCTCTACGTTGCATAGATGGGTGCATTGATTGCATCGACTGCCGGACATATTGGGGTCAACGGTATGGGGGTGCCGCAAGGTGGAAAAGTTTTCTTGCGGATGGGTGTGTGCATAGGGACGACTACTACCTCTTTTCCTACTCTAGTGGCCGGTCAGATTGTGTAAAACATGTACTTTAGAGAGCAATCTGAAGAGCAAGCTACCACTCTGGCTCGCTTTCCTTGTCTACGCATGCGTGCGGAAGCTCTAGCTACGGTAATGAGACGTGCGGATGAATCATGTTAAGCTCAATGAACCCAATTGGATATGCAAAGTTAACGACTAAGCTGTTCGACGCCCGTGCCCCGTTCCGTGATGAGCTGTGCCGACCTGAGCTCTCCGATGATGGAACCTGATGATGCCAAGCCTTTTTACCCAACCTCCGCCTTGTGTGTGACGACGCCGAACCACGCTGCCCCAGCTTGCTTGGCTGGCTGCAGTGGTGGTATTTGTTCTTTGCTCTTTGTTCTCCGCTCCGTCCCTAGCTTCTTCTTGTCTGGCTGGGCCCTCGAAAGGGTCAATTGCATTTCTCCAACCCCGCGATAGCTTCCGTGCGGCCCGCACTAGTGATACTACGTCCAACGGCTTGCAGCTTGCGCTCAAGCACGCCCTCACCTCGACACCAGCGTATCTGCGCATATGACAGGTGTTATGTCCTGCCAACCATGTTCACCACATGTCATTCACCCGTCCGATTATGCGCAATGACAGCTTGGCGGAAGTCCGCGCTGTCGAGGGCTTGGTAATCGTCGCATTCAATCCCTTGTTGATGCTAACTTATAGGCCTGGACATCTTTGTCGACTAGAGGTACGATTGCATGTGCGATACTTCCTTAGGCCATGCTAACGTGTTAGAAGACGCTATTTTGACGACCCAATGCTTATCGTGCGATGCTTTTACCAACGTCAACCCCAGCGCTATCCGAAGCTGTGCGCCATCCCGAGTGATATCCGACTTGCGAACATACACGACCCCTACGCGCCGCCATATATAACAATACATAAAAGAGAAATCAATTATATCATGATTCGCGATCAATGTCGCAATCATCAAATAACTGGAATGTTGTGACTATTCATGCACCGGTCGCACACAGCATCACGCAGCGTTGAGGCAGGTCATGTTAGAGAAATATCCGTCATTCAACACGCTGTACAAACTCGGAGTGTTCAATGAGTGACGCAGGTCCATGTAGAGAGGGAGATGTTGCGATGTTTCAGATCTGCGTTTGAGCGGATGGTGAAGCTTCTCCCGAAACGAGCAGCACGACCATATACTCCCAAAACGAGGTATCGGAAACCAAACGAACCCAGCATTCCTTGCATGGAACGGAACAAATTATGCAAATAATCCTCTGAGCCGGTACGAAAACATTCGGATTGTCGTAATACCGTGAAACCAAGGTAGATTTCGAGACAAGCTTCAGCTTACCATTCCGCGCAGCTTAGTCGTAATTGTTCCGCTCGTACAACCACTTGAGGTTATCGTATTTATTTTACCGTAGCCGCCTTGTGTTCGAATCAACCTACTTCATCTCCTCAGTCCTTTCATCCTTTAACCTTTGTGCCGGTCACTCTACTTATTTGTACATATTTCTCATCTCGCCCTTCTATAGCTTGATTCTGTTCAGTGGCAATCATGCGTTACACAGCCTTCCTCACCGTCGCTGCATTCTCCAGCATTGCCTTGGCTTCGTCAGGTAAGCTTCGTGACTAGATATAAAAAGAGACAAACACATCTAACATGAAGCAGTCAAGCTCCGTCGCCAGGATGATGTCGCTTCCATCCTCGCTGCTCTCGCAGCCAACAACCCTGACGATGCAGCTGCCGCCCAGCAAGCCGTTAACGGCGCACAGAAGCGTGCTCCTCAGGATGATATTAACAGCATCCTTGCTGCCCTCGCAGCCAACAACCCTGATGACGCTGCTGCTGCCCAGCAACTCGCCTCTTCTCCGATGCACAAACGCGAGCCCTATGTCGTTCCTAACTCGAAAGCTGTAGAGCCTCTCTTGGGCAAGCGCCAGGACGACATTAACAGCATCCTTGCCGCCCTTGCGGCCAACAACCCCGACGATGCAGCTGCCGCTCAGCAACTTGCCTCCAAGCCAGTGAACAAGCGTCAAGACGACATTGAGAGCATCCTTGCTGCTCTTGCAGCCAACAACCCAGATGATGCTGCTGCTGCCCGCCAAAGCATCCAGAAGAGACAGGATGATATCGCATCTATCCTTGCGGCTTTGGCACAGAACAACCCCGATGACGCAAAGGCTGCGCAGTCGCTGGCCAAGCGATGGATTGCGTAAATTTTTCTAATTTCTAATCTTGGTGTATGTTAAAGTTGGCGTTGAGACCTTCAGATTGTGCAGTGGGTGAGTGGGTGAGATGGGACGGAATCTGGGATGGGGCTTGTATATAGTTGAATAGTTTTGTGTATTGGAGAAAAAATATACTTTTTAGGCAACATTTTTTTTTCTTTGTAAGTTCTTTGCTACGAGAGAGACATCTTTGTCTGCTCCTGGCTCTTGGGTGTCATGGTAGCGTGTCCTAATACACCTGACGATTTTCGCTCATAAGTGAAATAATTATTATTTCTTTCCAGATATAACTACTTTTGCTACTTGTATTTTTCGTTGAACATCAGATATGGTAGGAAAATCGACTTGGGGTATTTCTAGATAATAGTAAATCCTCCTGTTGCGTGTGCAGGAAAGGTTGGGAGTGAACGCAGTCTTCCATAACCCAAGAAGCGTATTAATATAGCATCATTGAACACAACCGCGGATGTATACTGTTGCAGATAGTGAGTTGAATCATTCAAATTCCTAGACATTCGTAACTCCATGAAGCAGCATTGTCTGTGAGATCCAGTTGTGTCGATATACCCAAACGTCTCTTGCTGGACCCCAACCAGGAATGTCCAACGCAGCCCCGTCTTTTACCCCGCACCCCTCCCAACCCTAGTCATCGCAAACCTCCTCCTTTGTAAAGCAGTTTCCACGCCTAGATGCCACGACCACGCGTGAGTTTAATATAATGTGTACGATATTTACTATCTATTTCAAAGTTTCTCCCAGTTTCTCCATCGACACGATGGCCGAGTGGTCTAAGGCGGTAGATTTAAGTCTTGCATAGACCTCTACTACAGAAATGTGCGTGGGTTAGTATTATCCTCATATCAACTCCATAAACTTAATCTAACTGCATCGAGGTTCGAACCCCACTCGTGTCAAAGCTTTCTTTTTGCAACCCTATACTCTGTATATGAATATAGAGAGAAAGGGCTATATTTTTTTAGGGGGGGGGTGGTGGTGGTGGTTGGAGATGGGGTATGCGATGAATCCGGCGAGACTAAGACAGGCCGCTGTGCAAGCCTTAACAAGATAAGAAGAATAGGAAGAGAATAGAGTGTTGAAATAAGGTGGAAGAGATCTTCTGAGTATCGGGGAACTAATTTATGCTTAGAGCATGCTGCAAGGTATTTGTCATTCATCAAACATGAACTACTAATTTCTCTAGACACGTTAACCACACCACTTTTATACCCAACACCTCCCTCCCGCTGGACAACGTCGTCGAATTCATAACCGATCCGGCGTCTAGCACATGCGAATATCATCAATTTTCATTCACAGTCTTTAGCTTCAGTATTACCACAAATACTGGTTCTCGGGCTAGACCACGAAAAGCGTACCCGCCGCTACCTGATCCAGGATAATACTACAACATTAACTGCTGCCAGTAACCTCACCCATCGCGCTTATATCCACTCCTGCTTCTCAGCACCTCGCCATACCGCGCCAGCACAAACGGTATGGACGCACCCAGAAAACTCAAGCAACCCAAGAGCGTACAAGCCCATTGAGCGCCCAGATGCTTGAACATTTGGACTGCAAAGAGGGGAAACACAGCCCCGAGAACATATCGCAGAATGGCGTTTGAAGCCATTGCACTGGCGCTGTAAAGCGGGCCGTACGTATCAGTCATGTACATCATGCACGCCATGAAGATGAGCATATTGCCGCAGCCAAAAAACACTTCGGCAATCGTGGGCACAATCCAGTGCACACCGTATGCAGCTGACCATCCAAAGAGGAAGAGACTGAGAGTCAAAAGGGGTCCGCCGGCAATGGCGAGCCCGAGACGTTTTTCCGGTTTTAATCGTGAGGTTGCGAATGGTGGGGGTGGTCGCTTTTCAATCACTGCCTGCCTCACACGTGGAATGTAGTAGAATTTACTGAAGGAAACGATACATGCCGTTGCGACGATGACGCCGACTCCTAGACCGAGAAACGTTAGGCCGGTCGAGAGACTGTCGAAGCCGTATTCTTTTTTGAAGACATATGGGAAGGCGGCGAAGAAAGCGTAGAGGAGACCAAAGTTGAAGGCGCTGTACGCGTTGAATGTGGCGATGATGGGCTCGGTCAAGAGCATGTGCATCGGCCGGGTAAGCGTCTTGGTCACGTATGTGCTGACAATTTTTGGCAAAGGCATGCCTTCGGTTGGTGAGAGTGGAAGCGGGAGATTAAGTTTCTTTGCACGCTGGCGTAGGAGAACGGGCTTGTATGATTCCACGAAGAAAGGCGCTGGCGCTATAACAAGCACCACCGTGAAGAAGAGGATCAGCCACGAGGTCCAGTGCCATCCTTGAGTCTGCGTCACGGCAGCTCCCAGCAGGGGACCTACAGCCGGACCAAAGAATGGAGTCGCAACATAGAGAGACATAGGACCTGACCGTTTCTCAGGCGGCCATATATCACTTAGAGTACCAGACCCCATACTCAGACTCGGCGCGGCAAAGAATCCAGACCAGAATCGCAGAACCACCAATGCAGCCATGCTCTTTGCAAATCCAGTTCCCAAGGTGAACAGCGCAAAGACAGGCAAGCTGATGAAAATAACGGGGCGCCGTCCGAATGTCTCACTCAGAGGCGCGGCAAAAGGTCCGCCAAATGCCAGACCAAGCGAGTAAATCGAGTATGCAAAGGTGGAGACAAGAGGCGAGGAGTTGAGTTCCAAAGCGGCTTCTTCAATCGCAGGCGTAAACACTGACGAGGCAAATGTGCCTACGAACGCAATCCCGGATATCGTATACGTCTGAAACCATTTCCGTGCTGCGCTCCAATTATGCGGGTTAAGAGGGTCATCTGGGCCGTCCCAGTCCATGGCTTTTGGTCGTTCCTGTGGTTGCGAAGGTGTGTCGTTTGAATTTCCTGTTGCTGCAGTTGCGGTATCCAAACCCGAGTTCTGCTGTACCTGCTTCTCCTCGCCATACCCGGAATTCATCATGTCTTCCTGCACCGACGGCTGGCGACTCTGCTCAGCAGCCTTCTCGACATCCTCGCGGCTCGCCCGTCTCGTCGATACCGCCGTGTTTTCCGACGACGACGCCGGGCGCGATGGACTCGGTACACCGCCAATCATCTGAACCCTCCCAAAAAATAAAAATAAAAATTGAAATTTATTTCTTTTTTTTCTACGAATAATACAGGATATTATGGATAACAAGAAGTAAAAGAAGAGGAGGAGGAAAGGAAAGGAAAGGAAAAAAAACTAGGAAACATCCCAAAACCCACAATACAAACTCGTAACCGAAGCAAAGCAACGAAACAAGCAAGGTAAAAAAAAGAGAGGACGCTTGGGCCCGATCCACATTCCTTCCTCCGCCGGTAGGATTTTCCACCTTGGTTTGAGACGCATAAGTTAGTAGCGTGAGCGCACCGATGTGTAGGCGTCATGCTTCAGTACCAGTACTACGTAGATAAGAGATGATCAACAAGCTAAACTCTCCTAGCCCTACCGTAGAGTAACATGCTGCGCGCTGTGAATCGCCAATGGCAATGGCAAGACTCGATCTTGGGATACATGATGATGAGCGTCTTTGTCGTGGCGATCTTGACGCCGAAAGGCAAATGGGAGGGGAATTGATTTGGGCATTGTTGAGGCTCAAGGCGTGATGGCGTGGGGGGGAAGGACCGAGCTGAGGCTAAGGGGCGTCGTCGGGACCGGGCCGATCGCGTTATTTTGGTAGGCCAGGTAAGAAAGTGGGTCTTGTAGGGAAATTTGTGATTACTTTTCTTTTTTGGCTTCACATGTTCGCCTTTTACGGTGATCATTTAGAACATGTACTTTTTTTTTTTTTTTTAAAAAACCCCCTGTTGCTAAAGTATGCATTCTGGAATGAAATTAGTATGCATTTTTGATTACGTACATGTAGGTAGAACGATGCAATTGTTGAATTATAGGAGAAGAAAAATATTTGAATCCCCCCTTCTTCTAGGGTCTTAATCTGTTACTTACGCGTGACTCAAGAGTCTGCGCATTCGTGCCGAGGTTGTTGTTGGATTTCACGGCGAAGCCGAGGGGGGGGGGAGCGTGTCGCGGTACGAGATAACCCAAGTCATATCTCCACTCTTAATTGCTCGTTCTAAGACTACGGCCGAGGATGAATACGACGGTATCAAGGCTCTTTTGAGAGAGAAAAAGAGGGCTGACATGATTGTTAATTCACCGGCTACCACTTTACTACATCTTCAAGTATCAAGATGAAAGCAGAGAGCTGCATGCCACGAGTATCAATAAAAGAGGGATAATAATAAGACATGAATGTGAATCAAAACAAAACGCCAAGCACAAGAAGCATGACCTAAACTAGGAAATACAGTCTCCGAAAGAGAAGTTACCACCAATTCCATGTGAAATCAAAGACAACTTGCTTCATGAGAAACACAGTGTACAACCATAACAACTTGTAAACTATACATTGACAACCAGAACTTATACACTACATCTTCCCTTCGTTACCTTAACCTTTTTCTCACCCAAGTATGCTATTTCTACTCTTCCTCCCAATGCGCTCCTCGCATACTTTTCTTTTCCATGCGCACATCGTCTAGCCTCCCCGACTTTTTTTTAATTGTTTCTTCCCCAGAAAGATTTACTGAATGTCGAACAGCTGCTTGAGCTGCACAATAAGTTTCCATTCATCCTGACTGACATCGCTTCTGAAAAACTCCTTGAGCGTATCGATACTCTTCCTGCTCACGGCAGAGTACAGCGTATCGCCCTCTTCCAGGTGACGACCGTACATGGGCTGGCTGCTCGCTTCGATCTTGACAGCAACGGAAGGTTGGCCCTTCTTGCAAATTTGCATTGGCTTGTGGTCTCGCTCAATGGATGTACTATGACGGATTAGTGGATTGCATATGAATAGGGATTACAAGACTTACACTCTTCCGAGTTGAATGATTTCCTTAGTACCAGTGGCGGCATTCTTCTTGATTGCGCAGATTGGCGTTGTCATTCGCAAAGCACCTTCAACAACATCCACACCAATGATGATGGGGTTGGTCTTGTTGAAGACGGCAACAGGCTTGAGTACGCAAGGGAAGACAGCCAACATCTTGGACTCCTCCTTCCTTTGCTCTTCAAGTTGCTTCATATGCGCCGTGAACTTGTCAAACAGATGGTAGATGATATCCGCTTCGAAGATCTTGACGCCAATCTCCTCAGCGAAGGCTTTGGCTTCCTTGTCAACCTTGACATCGAAACACAACATGACGGCATACTCTTTGGCCTTTTCTAACATGATTCCTGCACGGAGCACATCCTTCCTGAAGACAGGTCCAATGGAGATGGTGGAAACAGGAATCTTGGAAACACGTAGGAATTCGAGCAACGCCTCAAGAGATCCGAGGGTAGAGGCCTGGACGGAAACACCACGACCAGTCTTGGATACCTTGCTGAGCAGGTGGGCGAGGTCACCCATGACTTCGTCCATGAGGTCTTCTTCATCGTCATCCGGACCGACAACAAGTAGTCGCGAACCAGCAATGGCTTGGTCAAGACCATCGGCAGCAATCTTGATACCCATGGCAGCCTTGACTTCCTTGTTGTGTACGTATTGGGACTTGACACGCAACTCTTTCATCTCGGCAGGCGTCAAGAGCGCTCGAATATTCGTTGCTATGGGTTCTGGATTACCGCACAACACGATTCGATCACCCTCGTGAAGCACACCGTTGGACAAGATGACATCGATCGTGGTACCGAGACCTTCAATGACCTTGACTTCGAGAACAGTACACTCGACCTCGGAAAGGTACATGAGGTTGTTGGTCAGACGTTCTTGAGTAAGCTTGACAATGAGCTTGATCATATCTGGGATACCCTCTCCTGTGTGTGCAGAGGTCGGGCATACAGACACATACTTTGACATGTTCTTGTTCTTGAAGAAGAGCTCCGAGTTGAAACCCTGTTCTTGCAGCTGAGTGCGAACAAAGTTCCATCGCTCCTCGAATTCACTCTGGACAGACTGTTTCTGGAGGCTGAAACTGTCCTCAAAACCGTTGTTGTCAATCTTCTTCCAGCCAAACAGACGATCAATCTTGTTGAGCGCCACGATGAAGGGTGTTCGCTTGTCTCGGAGAAGCTTCATGGACTCGATAGTCTGTGGCTCGAGACCGTGCATAATATCAATGACGAGGATGGCAATGTTACAGAGTGATGAACCGCGAGATCGGAGGTTGGTGAAAGACTCGTGACCGGGTGTGTCGATGACGAGGAGACCAGGAACATTGAAGACAAATTCATTGTTCTTATTGACAACCGCAGTCTTCTTCTGGAGCGCTTCGACCGGGAAGTAAGTGGCACCAATCTGTTGGGTGATACCTCCAGCTTCGCCTTCTTGCACATTGGTCTGTCGGATCTTGTCAAGCAACTTCGTTTTACCGGTATCGACGTGGCCAAGAATACAGCAAATGGGAGAGCGGAGGTTGTCTTTGGACCGGGCTGCCAGGGCTTCCTCGTGGGCTTGTTTGCGTCGTTCAGCAGCAGCAGCTTTGCGCGCAGCTTCGGCTCTCTGAGCGGCAGTCCCTTGCTCATCTTCAGATGAGTCGTCACTGTCTTCTTCAGAGTCTGATTCTGAATCCTCCTTAGCTTCTTCGGCGGCTGCCTTCTCTGCTGCAGCCTTCTCTTCCTTGGCCTTCTTCTCGTTCGCCTTGCGCTCTTCCTCTTCATCGGTATCGACGTCCCAGCTGTCTTTGACACCATCCAGTTCATCTGCTTGCGCCTCCCAGTCATCCGCAGAGTCTCCGTCTTCGCCCTTCTTTGCTTCTGCATCGAGGCGAGCTTTCTCGGCCTCCTCGGCTGCCTTGGCGGCTTGTTCCTCAGCTAGCCTGAGTTCTTCCATCTTCTTGGCAGCCTCTTCAGCCTCACGAGCCTCCTTCTCCTTCTGACTCTCACCCTTCTTCTTCTTCTTCTTTCGGTCATCGTATACCGGCTTCTTCTTCTTCTCGGGCTCGTCAGCTAGGCCTGCGACCTTTGTGTTTCCTTGTTCAAGCAATTGCTGTAGACGTAGCTCGTTCTTGGCCTTTGCTTCCTTTTGGGCTTTGGTCATGTACTTGCCCTCTTTCTTGAGTTGCTCAATCTTTTCCTTCTCCCTTTGCTTCTTCAACGCCTTGGCCTCTTCTTTGCGCTTTTGCTCCTCTGCCTCCTGTCGCTCCAACTCTAGTAGCCTTTCTTTTTCTTCGGCTTCGGCACGCGCAATCTCCTCCTCTCTCTTCCTACGTTCTTCCTGTTGTTTCTGGAGGGCGGCTAGAGCAGGATTGATCTTCTTCTTCTTGCCACCAGCAGCAGGGGCAGCCTCTGCAGCAGGCGTAGGGGTAGAGGCTTCAGCGGCCGCTGGCTTGGATTCAGCAGCCTTTGCAGGTTCGGCCTTTGCAGGGCCACTGGCCTTCTTCTTCGCAGCCTATGACAATTTGTTAGTCGGGAACAGCACCGAGTGCTTCTGCATCAACAGACGTACCAATTCCTTCTTTCGCTGCTTCTCCTTCTCCTTCTTCTCCTTTTCCTTTTCCGCCTTGGTCTTCACTCGCGGCGCATCCGTAGGCTTCTCCTCTGCAGGCTCTTCTGCCTTTGTAGCGCCACCCTTGCCCTTCTTCTTGCCGTAGTTACCAGCGAAAACGTCGTCATCATCGTCGTCGAAGCCCCCTTCTTGTGGTGCCTTGTCCTGGAAGTCTCCGCCTGCACCGTCAGCAGGTGGATCTTCGCCTTCGACATCTGGGTTGGCGCCCTTCTTGTTCTTCTTCTTGCCACGCTTTGCGAGGGCAGCCATCAGACCTCCGCCTGCGGCATCGTCCTCTGCAGCGACATCTTCGGGCTTTGCTTCTGCTGCATCCCCATTCTGTGGCGCAACAGTCTCGCCCAACTCAGCCTCCCAGTCATCATCCTGCGCCTTCTTGTTGCCCTTCTTCTTTGGCGGCATTGTGTATCAAGTGTATTAAGTCGAGCGGTTATGTGAGGTGGTATATGCAGTCGCCGTGAAGGAGACGTTCTGGTGACGAGCACAGCGCAATCACACTCAGAAGGCGAGTGGAGGGGAAGTTCAGTGCGAGGCGGCGGATGTGGTGCTAGCGCTGTCAAGC